AAATGCACAAATAAATAAAGGGTGGGGGGAAGAAGACAGAATAACAACAAAAATTTCTTGAACTATTTAAGCCAAGTGCACAGATATGATGTGGTGGGGGGTAGAGGAATGGGTAAAGGGGCATGAAAATCAAGTACAATGTATTTTGAGGAGTAAAATAAAATAAATTTAAATTTAAAAAAATATTTTTTCTTAAAAAAAAAAGGGTTAAAATTAGGAATATAACAAAGTAAAATATAATAGTGGTGACACCAGAGTGCCCAGATGCCGCTATCACCAGGAACAGCGTGGAGAAAGCAGAAACTGACATGAAGGACCAATATCACCAGGGCTTCCATTGCTAGTTTGCTGGGAAGTTCAAGGGGGACATGAACTCCACCTAGTCAAGCACTCCCAATTGTTCCTTATTCCAAAAGCAGTAACAGAGGATTTTGCCACTAAAGGACTGGACTGGAGTTCATAGGCCATGGCAAAGAAAAGCCTGAAAACTGTTCACCTTGACAGCCACCTTGAGAAAGGACTCCTCAAATCAGTAAATTGAGGACTCTGCATGTTGTCAATTAAAGCTGTGAAGATAGTTCATTGAGGGCCGGCCTGGTGGCGCACTGCTATAGTGCGCCGCTTGGGAAGTGTGGCGGCGCTCCCGCCGAGGGTTCGGATCCCACATACAGACCGGTTCCCGCTCACTGGCTGAGCGAGGCGCGGATGCAACACCGAGGGCTGCGATCCCATTGCCGGTCCCGGTCCGGTACGGGGGTGACACTGAGGGTTGCGATCCGTTGCCGGACATGGAAAAAGACAAAAAAAAAAAAAAAGATAGTTCATTGATTCGATGAGTTTTATTTCTTCGATGTTTTCCTTACTTGTAAAATTTGAATCATCACTCTCCACTTTAGGTTTATTTCTCACTTGCTCTGACATCTTGCAGGAACTTAATGTGCTAAAACTGATCTTCTTGGAATTATGATTGCAATACTTGGGTCGGGATCAGCTTTACATATAGCTTGTATGTAAATATTGATATACTAGTCAGGATGAGCAGGGTTGCCGGACCATTTGTTAATGCAAAGAACATTAGGTAAATTGTTCTGGGTCATTGTTAATGGATGCAAATGGTTAGGGCCTCTCTTTTCTCTCAGGAAGCTTATGCTCCGAAAAGAGATTACAGCACAACAGTTTCAATCAATCCCTGGGAATACAGTTTTATTTTTATATCATTTAATGGTAAAGATTGGTGGCCTGGGTTAGCTAAGAAGACAGCTTTTAACAGACAGTTCCCTGCCTTAATAAGAGGTATCAGACTTAAGACATGAAAGCTTTAAGGAAGTTGCAGTGAACACCATTTCAGAGCTCACAGTGTAGCTCAGGAATTAAGATACTTAAAATAGCTATGGAGGAAGATCTTAAGTTGCATACATTTGCTGTTGCTGGATTTCAACCCATGTTGATGAATTAAGTCAACCTGTACATCATAAAAATGCTAAAATGCTTTCTCTGATTTAAGGAGGGTAAAAAAGGAAAAGAAAAAGAATAGATATCAGAGCAAGATCAAACAATGTGCTTCCTGCAGGGATCCCACTTTAAATTACAGACACAGAAGTAAGCTAAAAACAAAAGGATGGGAAAGTATACCATTCTAATACCTATCAGAAGAAAGCTGGAATGCTTGTATCAATATCATATGATGTAGATTTCACAGCAGAGAATATCGACAGGGATAAAAAGGGCAATTTCAAATGGTCAGTTTGTCATGAGGACATAATAATCCTGAACATTTACACACCTAATAATAGACCTTCCAAATACACAAAATTCAAAAAATTATAGAACTGCAAGGAGAAATAGACATTCACAATTATAGTCCGAGATTTTATTGTTCCTCCCTCCGTAATCAATAGAACAAGTAGATAAAGAATCTATACGTGATAGAAGCCGTGAACACCTATGTTAACTAACTTGACCTGATTGACATTTTTAGAACACTCTACTAGGCAGAAATGCATTCTTTTCAAGTGTGCATGGAACACCTACCAATATAGACCATGATTTGGACCAAAAAGAAATCTTAAACATCAAAAGGATTTAAGTTATACAAAGTATGCTCTCTGTCCACAAGAGAATTAAATTAGAATCAATAACAAACAGATCTCTGGAAAATATCCCTAACATTTGGAAGGTATAAAGCATTTTAAAAATAACTAATGGGTTGGCGAATGAATCAGAAGGTAAATTAGAAATAATTTTGAAGGAAGTGAAAAAAATAATGTATCAAAATGTATGAGATCCAGAAAAGCAGTACTTAGAAGGAAATTTATAACATACAATGCCTGTTTTAAATAAAAATGGACTCAAAACCAAGAACTTAGTGTGCACCTTAAGAAACTACAATAAGAAGGACAAATGCAACCCAAAGGGAATAGAAGAAAGAGGATAAGAAGGAGGAGAGCAGGAATCCATGACAAAGAAAACAAAAACAATAGCAAAAATCAAAGGAAACAAAAAATCCTTCTTTGAGAATGGTACAATTGGTAAAACCTCTATCTAGACTGAAGAAGAAAGGAGATTACAAAGTATAGGAATATTAGGAATGAGGAAGTTTTCATCACTGCAGAGTGTACAGATATGAAAAGATAATGAGGTATAATGAATAAGTTTTTGCCAACAAATTTGACTTTTTAGATGAAATGGACAGATTTCTCACAAGACACATACTCTTTAAAGGTCACTTAAGAAGGAATAAGTGACCTAAGTGAATAGTCATGTGTCTACGAAATTAAAATTTCTGCAAACAAATTTCTAGGACCAGAGGAGTAGTGGTTTCTAACACATGTATAACTAACAAATAATATCAATTCTTTACAAACTTTTCAGAAAACTGAAGGAGGAGGGAATTTTCCCCAACTCATTTTTTGAAGATAGCTTTACTCCTATATCAAAACCAGACTTAGACCGTATTAGGAAAACACAGACCAATATCCTTCATGAACATAGATGTAAAAATTCTTAAAGTTTTAGTAAATCGAATTCAACAATTTATAAAAGGATAATACAGTGTGACCAAGTGGGGTTTATACCAAAAATCACAAGTTTGGTTTAACACTCCAGCATAATCCATGTAAAAAGAAAAACCATATGATCATTTTAGGAGATGAAGGAGGGAAATCATTTGACAAACTCCAACATCTGTTTCCGATAAAAACTTTCAGCAATCTAGGAACAAAAGATCACCTCCTTAACCTGATGAAGAGCATCTTTGTTATCCATGGAGCATACATTGTACCTAATGGTGACTGGCTGAAAGCTTTCCCCTAAGTTCAGGATCAAGACAAGGATGTCGGCTATCACCACTGCTGTTCAACATTGTACTGCAGGTTTAGCAAGTGCAAAACAGCAGTGCAAAGAAATAAAAGGAATCTGGATTGGAAAGAGAATTGAAGCTGTCTTTATTTACAGATAACATTATTTATGCAGAGAATCTGATGTCGTTTATGAAAAAGCTACTAGAACTAAGTGAGGTTAGCAGTATTGCAGGATGGAAGACCAATAAATAAAAGCCATTTGTATGTCTCTATACATATACATATGTAATCAGAAAGTAGAATTTTAAAATACCATTTACAGTATCCTTTTCCCACAACTGAAGTACTGAGATATAAATCTGATCAAAAAATGTGAATGACCTATAGACAAAACTACAAAATATTGCTGAGGGAATTTTTAAAGACCTAAAATCAGGCAGGGGTATACTGTGTTCATGGATCAGAAGACTCAGTATTGTTAATTTGTTAGTTATCCCCAAATTAATCTATAGATTCAGCACCTTCCCAATCAAGATTTCTGTAGAAATTGTCAAGCTGATGATAAAATTCATATGGAAATGTAGAGGGCCCAGAATAGTCAAAACCGCTTTGAAAATGAGGCACATAGTTGGAAGACCTGCACTATCTTACTTCAAGACTTGTTTTAAAGCTGCAGTCACCAAGATGCTGTAGTATCAGCATAAAGAAAAATGCATCAGTAGAGTAGAGTAGGGAATCCAGAAATGGACCCGCAAATACTGACAAGACGGGTATGGAAAAAGTAACACTTTTCACAGTTTCCAGTGTGCAGTTTACAACAGTGCAAAGGCAATTCATTGGAGAAAAGATGGTCTTTTCAGCAAATGCTTTTGAATAGTTAGATAACCTAAAAGTAAGGAATGAACTTATACCTTGCAACATATCCAAACATTAATTCAAAATGGACCATAGTCCTAAATGTAAAACGTAAAACTAAAAACTTTTAGAAGAAGACATGAGAGAAAACCTTTGTGACTTTAGATCAGACAAATATTTTTAGGTAGAACTCCAAAAGCTGATCAATTAAAGACAAACATGACAAATTGGACTTTATAAAAATTATGAACTGTTCTTTGAAAGACGCTTAGAAGAGATTGAGAAAACATGCCACAGACTGGAAAAGGATACTCACAATCATGTAATCTGACTGAGGTCTTGTATCCAAAGTATATGAAGAGTTTTCAAAACTCAGTAATAAAACAAGTTTGTTATCCCTTCTTGTCACATTGTGGGCTAGTAATATTCATACATTAAAACTCTTTAAATGAATTGTTGATTTATAGCAGGGTGGGCAAACTGTTTCTGTAAAGGGCCAAATACTAAGTATTTTGGGCTTTGTATATGATACTTTGGGGGTTTAAAACTCACTCTAGCTCATAGGGCTTTCAAAAACAGGCTGTGGGCTGGACTTGGCACAATTTCAGTGATAGTCTTCCAACCCCTTCAGGTAGTCTGTGTGAGGGAAGAAAGGTAGGAACTTGTGAAATTTTGAGTTCAGGTCTGAATGATTCTTCTTAATTTATTTAACAATTGGTTGGGAGGATATAGATTGAGAGGTGTACATTGAATAATTGAGCAGTAAACAAAAAGCCTCGTATTTAACAAGTTTAAAAATATTTAAGAATAAAAATGTGTTTGTTATATTTGGTGACTTTTTTGTAGTCCTTGTGACCGCCCTCGTGTCATTGAGTCTCTGAGAGGAATTGAAGTGGTTGACGTTGCTGCTGGTGGAGCCCACAGCGCCTGCGTCACAGCAGCTGGGGACCTCTACACGTGGGGCAAAGGCCGGTATGGCCGCCTGGGACACAGTGACAGTGAGGACCAGTTGAAGCCAAAGCTGGTGAGAAGGCGCCGTGTTCACTTCTTACTGTTGACCTGGGATGGGGGCAGTGTGCCGTTGTCATTATAATTTTAAAAAGTCGAAAGTATTTCTCATCCTAGATTCTTTTTAGTTTTAGAGTTAATGGTCGTAGTCTCATTATTTACATGTAAGTCTTCTTTTTAATGGAAATAAAAACCATCTTGGTACGTATCCCTTCCATGGGTTACATAAACAGGATAGTATTTGAAATATTCTTTTATTTATAAGAGTAAATGTTACTTCGCATCTAGCTAAATGCTTTGGCTTCTAGAAGGCCCACAGTATTTCAGGTGATATGAAGAAGTAAATAAACAACCTTCATGGTGGTGCATGGTTGGACATTGAGGGTACTGGAAACTGTCTCCTACAGTGTGGATGCATATAGTTCAAATAGATGAAAGTGTTGTTTCGTCTTATAGGATTATTAAAATCACCTGTTCTTTGTAACCCCTTAGAATAGGCACCACCATAAAAAAAGAATGGTGACATTGTAAAGCTTTTCCTTTGGTAAGTCTTTGTGTTGCATTTGGCTAACTGAGTGTCCCTTTTCTCTGAAGGTAGAGGCACTGCAGGGCCACCGTGTGGTTGACATTGCCTGTGGCAGTGGTGACGCCCAGACCCTCTGCCTCACTGATGATGACACTGTCTGGTCCTGGGGGGACGGGGACTATGGCAAACTCGGCAGAGGAGGCAGCGATGGCTGTAAAGTGCCCATGAAGGTATTTCCTGTTTACACCTCCCTGGTCCCCTCCCAGGACCCATGGTTGGTTGTCAGGCTGCTCTAGGCATGGTGTGGATCCCCAGGGGGTCTGACGTCACTGTCCCTCTCTGCGTGCTTTTTAGAAGCATTCTAACGGCGTTGTTACCTTCTTTGCAGAAAATATAATGAGTAATCTGTAAAGAGTGGGTGAAGGACCCCAAATTGAGTGCTACTTGTGCTCTACTGGGAAATGTGTGTCATAGGTGGGGCACCGCAGAGCCTGTGGTTAGATTTAGTATGCAGACCTCTTTGGGGAGAAGGATGACATGCTGTCCATACTCTTTCCAGTTTGCAGTGGTATATAGATGCCATGTCACAAGCTGTGGGATGTAGTAGAGTTTGCAGAAAGGATTGCATCTGAGGTGTCCAGAGGCTGCTATAGGGAAGAGGCTGCACAGCACCCTGAATCCAGCAGGCCCACAGTGGGGGGCCGAGGGCTTTGCTCCACATGATGTGGGTGGTTCTGGGTAGTCCCTTCACTTCGCCAGAATGCCTTGTGCCCTTCTAACTGTGTGGTTGGTAGAGGTCAAGTGAATTGATGTGTTCAGATCTCATAGCTCCTGCTCAGTGGCCCCGTAGCATAAGAATGCTGCATGTGTGTAGCTGAGGTGCTCTGCCATGGACTTGGGAGTGTGGGTGCTGTGGAATGGAGCCAGCCTCTGTCTCTGGTCAGCATATTGTCTTGCTGGACTCAGGGATGGCTGCAGGCACAGAATAGAAAGCCACACACAGTCGCAGGCACCCCTGGAGCTGACTGAGCAGGCTGGTGTGCAAAGAGGCCCCTCTGATGGGGAAGAGCCTGGGCCCAACCTCACAGCTTTTCTTCCTGCCTCTCTGCTGTCCAGTACAGCAGCTGTTTTAAGTTTAAATTAAGTCAATTAAGATTAAGTAAAACTAAATTCATTCCGTTGCACTGGCCACAGTCCGTGTACCCAACAGCATGTGTGGCTGAAGTCTTGGGCAGTGTGGGTGCAGCACATTTCCATCACCACAGAGAGTGGCTTTGGTGGGTGCTGCCTAGAGTTGAATCCTTGTGGGGAAGACATCACCTGGAGGTCTCCCTGCATCCTGCTGCATCCCCAGGTACCCTGCAGCTGCAAGGAGAGGCCCTGGGGCTCTCGTTGGCGGGCGCTGCTGGGAAACTGGGGGCTCAGGGCTGCCTTCCTTTCCTGTGACCTCTAGCTGTTTTTCCACTATAGGTATGTGGTATTTTAACCATGTCAGGGGCTACAAAGGTTTCTACTCTTATGAAAAAATGGTCTGTGTGGACTTTTTTAAGCAAAGGAAGGCTTTTTTGCAAAGGCTTCACATCTGCAAGGAGTAGGATGTTGGGATTGGCGGGGGAGGGCTGGAGGAGGACATTACTAATGCCGAGTAACAGAGGCAAGGAGAGAGCTAAATAAGAGAATGGATTAAGTTTTAGTTAATTTAAATTTAAAATTAAATACAAGACTTAAGTGTAAGAACAATCACAGAGGTAATAAGGAGCAGAGTTGCTGGGTCAGGAAAAGTGATGACTAGTCAGCAAGATCCCTGGGCGCTGGATATAGAGAGTGGACCCGGCTTGCAGGGGAGTAAGTGGGTCACAGGAGGCATGACCCAGGACATGTTGAGTGAGAGGGCCCTGGACAGACGGACAGGACCCCTTTGCTCCTTCCCTGTGGGCCTCAGGTTGGAGAGAGGCCAGGGGCAGATGAGAAGTGCAGGGTAGCTGGAGAACAGTGCCACCTCAGATAGAAATGAGGGCAGGAGAGTCTGTCTTGGGAGAAAGGATGGCGGACTTCACTGTGAAGTGCTCTGTGCCCGGTGCCCTGCAGGTCCTGCCAAGTAGCCCATTAGCACGTGCATTAGGTCAGATGTACCACTCGCTTCCTGGGAGTGTGCTGGTTAAAAGGCATGTGACTTTAAGTTGTGTTAATATTCAGCATGAGTGTGGGTTTTCAGAGTTCTCATTAGATTTAGTTAAATCCCAAATGTGGTTGTAGTGGCCAGCAGTGACCTTGATGGAGGCCATCTAAATGAACCTTTTTCCCTCCTAGATCGATTCTCTTACAGGCCTTGGAGTAATTAAAGTGGAGTGCGGATCCCAGTTTTCTGTCGCCCTTACCAAATCTGGAGCTGTTTATACTTGGTACGTATGATTCTGTTTGTTTAATCCCATCAAAACCAGATTTTTAATTCAAGTTATGTTAACTGTCTTTTCATGGATTGGAATTTAACTTATACAGCAGGCTGTGATTGCATCCTAGAGTACACAGCTTGTGCCAGGGGGGTGGGCAAGGTGGTAAATGAGATGACTTGCCCCAGTGAGTTTCATGCTGTCTTTGTGTGCAGGGGCAAGGGTGACTATCACAGGCTGGGCCATGGGTCTGACGACCATGTGCGAAGACCTCGGCAGGTCCAAGGGCTGCAGGGGAAGAAAGTCATCGCCATTGCCACCGGCTCTCTGCACTGTGTGTGCTGCACAGAGGATGGTAGGTGGAGCCAATGTGTCAGGACCAGGCCTGTGAATCTAAGAGGGCTGCTCAGGGGTCACACTGCAACTGCAGAAGGGCTTCTGCTATGTCCTCAGAGTCCGTCTGTGGTAGGCAGGGTTTAGCCCCAGTGTCACACCTGTGAATGTGTTATGTTACGTGGCTGTGCAGAAAAGAGCTGACAGAGCAGGCCCGAGATGCCTTCTCAGACAGGCCTGCCGCAGTGTTGCCCTCACTGGCACCTGGGGACCTGGGCTTCGGGAGGGGTCCCCCATTCCCTACAGATAAGTGTGGCTCACTATGCCTGAACTGTCTGTGCAAACAATGTGGTCTGTGCTGAAACCTGCTTTCCTCTGGGGTCTGGAATGTGGTAAGTGCCAAGCAGAGGGTGGTTGCGTGATCAGCCCTGACAAAAACCTTGGGTGTCAAGTCTCTGACCAGCTTCCTTGGTGGACGGCACTTCACACGGGTCAGCACAACTCAGTGCTGGGGGATTTAAGCATATCCCATGTGATTCCTTTGGAAGAGGGCTCTGGAAGCCTGTGCCTGGTCTCCTCTGGACTTCTCCCATGTGCTTTTCCCTTGCCCAGTTTTGCTCTGTATCGATTCACTGTAATAAATTGTAGCTGTGAGTGCAACTATATGCTGAGTCTTGGGAGTCCTCCTGGTGAATCACAGAAATTGGGGATGGTGTTCGGGACCCAACACAATGGCAAAAGGGACTTCACAGTGGAGTTAAGGTTGCTAATCAGCGGACTTTATGATAAGGACATTATTCTAGATTAGTGGCTGGGCCCAGTGTAATCACACGGACCCTTGGAATCAGAAAAGGAGGCAGAAGAGTCAGAGATGTGCCTGAGAGGCATCAGGAGAGACTTTCCAGGCATGAGAGGTGCTTAGCCCACTGTTGCTGGCTGCCAAGACGGATGAAGGGCCTGGGAATGGGGCCACCCCCGGGGGCTGGGAGCTGGACGTCAGTTTTGCAAAGAACTGAATTCTGCCAGTAGCCTGAGAAAGGAAATGCTTTCCTAGGCCTCCAGGAAGTGAGACCCGTGCTGAACTCCTGACCTACAGAACTAAATGGTGAAAAACGTGTGTTGTTTAAGCCAGTAGGTCATGATGATTTGTTATGGCAGTGATGGTAAACCAGTGCACCATTGTTCATTAAAACAGCCATTCCCCAAATTTTGCTCCCTTTTAAAGCCTTTGGTGAATTATGTAAGTATGTGCCCTTTAATCATTTCATTGATAGAAGAGATTCGTGTACAATTAAGCAATCTTTATGGCCTGTGGTGGAATGACATTGTAGTTCTTGGTCAAGGACTTACAATACACTTCTTATTTCATTAATTTGAATTCTTTTAAATTTTGAAACTAATCACAAACTCCAAGAAGAGTTGGAAATACATTACAAGGAACTCCTTTATCCTGATTTATGTTAGAGTTAGTTGCTGTCTTGAAGCTCTCATCCTGAACATGTATTTCTTATAAACAGAGACACTCTGCTATGTCATCACAGCCCTGCTGTCTAACCAGAGCATTTTTTTTTTTACTGTTTATTTGTGCATATTCATGGGGTACAGGGTGTTGTTCTGATACGTGCCATTTACTGCACAGTGATTCTCTTAAGGTAGACAGCATAGTTTGTACTTGTTAATCTGCCTTCTCTCCCCTGACCTCCCCCATGCCCCCCAGCCTCCTTCCAGCCTCTGCTAACCATTATTCTACTCTCTGCTTCTATGAGGACCACTTTTGGTGTGTTTGGTGTGTTTGGTGTGTGTGTGTGTGTGTGTGTGTGTGTAGATTCCACATATGAATGAGACCATGTGGTATTTGTCTTTCTGTGCCTGACTTACTTCACTTAACATGATGGTCTCTGGTTCCATCCATGTTGCTGCAAATAACAAGGTTTCATTTTTTAAAAGAGCTGAATAGTATTCTAAGGTGTATATATACCACACTTTTTTTTATCCATTTATCTGTTGATGGGCACCTAGGTTGATTCCATCTGTTGACTATTGTGCATAGTGCTACAATGAACAATGGAGTGCAGGTATCTCTTCCATATATTGATTTTATTTCCTTCAAGTATATACTCAGTAGTGGGATTGCTGTGCCATAACATGCTAGAGACCAGCTCCGCAGGATTCGTTGGACCTGAATAGGTGGTGTGGATAGGATGAGGAAAAAAGAAAAAGGCAGACCACAGGTGTCTAGTGCAAGTGTGTGGACAAAAACCACAAGAATCTTACTTTATTTATACTTAACATTTTACATGGTGATTTATATTTTAATCAAAACATTTTTTATTTCATCTCTATAGGAAAAGAAAAATTAGAATGTTCCAAAGCACTCACGCTGTGATAAAAGCACCCACTCATGCATCAGTATTTCACCCCAAAGCCTGTGGCTTATGGCCAGGAAACTATACAATAGCAACATGCTTGGCTTTAAAACGTCAGACTCTCAGTCTGAATCATAAACCTTAACCTTCTTAGCTTACAATTTAACCCCTTTTTAATCTTACTTATACTTACTACACTTAATTTTAATAACATCGATTAGTTAAGGTTTACAATTTAATATTGCTTATATTCTATATTGATCATTTTAATTTATAATCAAAATCACAATGTTTATACCTTTTATTTCCCTGCCAATAGACTCTGGGAACAGCACAGGGGACAAAGTGAAAAGTTAAATGATCCTACTCAAATTAACAAAAACACACTATATCATTATTATTATTACTAGGGAAACAACATGTTCTTGGTAAATCAAGTGAAACTGTGGGAATGGGGAGAAACAAATCTGTAACTGGTTAATGATCAAATAATTGTAAACACCACTGCACTTGGACCCACCATCTCTCTGGGGGATGTAGACAGAAATCCAACATAATAACTTCATTCCACATGTACAAGAGCATGACCACAGCCACAATGGGTCCATGCACATATCACTAACAGGAAATATTAATGACAAAATTAAATCGGGCCAACCCATACCGGGAACATGCATCAAAAACACCTTTAGTATTGACAATGCCCTTTAAATAAACCAATTAATTTTGATGTATTTTTAACATGTCCCTCGATAAACCCCGGGGCCCTTGGAATCCTCCAAAGGACATGCTAGTATGGCCTTGAGAAACTCTAGGGCTCTTGGAATCCCCCAAAGCCACAGTAAGCCAAAAAGTTAAGCCTTTAATTCTGAAAAGCCTTGTCAAACAAAAGTGAAACAAACAGGAAGTCTCCACAGAGCCGAGCCACACATATGAGACCCTCTTGCAGCCTTTTGAACAAGGGGTATCACTCCTCAGGCTCCCATGCCGTTCCCTAAAGCAGGATGGCTCACAGCAATAACAGTTCAATTTTTAGTTCTCTGAAGAATCTCCATGCTGTTTTCCACAATGGCTATACCAATGTACATTCCCACCAACAATGTAGGAGAGTTCCTTATACTCCACATCCTCTACGGCATTCGTTATTTTCTATCTTATTGATAATAGCCATTCTAACTGGAATAAGATGATATCTCATTATGGTTTTAATTTGCATTTCGCTGATGACTAGTGATGCTGAGCATTTTTTCATGTGCCTGTTGGCCATTTGTATGTCTTTTGACAGATGTCTGTTCAGTTCCTTTGCCCAGTTTTTAATGGATTTTTTTGTTGTTGTTTTTGGCTGTTGAGTTGTTTGAGTTCTTTACGTATTCTGGATATTAGCCTCCTGTCTGATGTGTAGTTTGCAAACACTTTCTCCCATTCTGTAGCCTCCTGTCTGATGTGTAGTTTGCAAACACTTTCTCCCATTCTCTTCACTTTGTTAACAGTGTCCCTTGCTGTGAAGAAGTGTCTCAGTTTGATGTAGTCCCATTTGTGTACTTTTACTTTAGTTGCCTGTGCCTCTGTAGTCTTGTTCAAGAGAGCACTGCCCACTCCCATTTTGTGTAGCATTTCTGCATGTTTTCTTCTAGTAGTTTGACAATTTGGGGTCTTAAATTTAGATCTTTGATCCATTTTAGGTTGTTTTTTGTGTATGGTGAGAGGTAGGAGTTTAGTTTCAATCTTCTGCATGTGGATATCCAGTTTTCCCAGCACTATTTATTGAATAGGCTGTCATTTCCCCTGTGTATATTTTTGGCACCTTTGTCAAAATTCAGTTGGCTATATGTGCATTCGTTTATTTCTGTGCTCTCTATTCTATTCCACTGGTCTATGTGTCTACTTTGATGTCAGTACCATGCTGTTTTGTTTAATATAGCTTTATAGTATATTTTGAAGTCAGGTAGTAAGATGCCTCCAACTTTGTTCTTTTTGTTCAAGATTACTTTAGCAAAATGGGTTCTTTTGTGGCTCCATATAAATTTTAAGATCATTTTTTGTATTTCTGTGAAGAATGTCATTGGTATTTTGATAGGGATTGAGTTGAATGTGTAGATGGCTTTGGGTAATATGGACATTTTGATGATGTTAATTATTCTGACCCATGAACATGTGGTATATTTCCATTTATTTGTGTCTTCAATTTCTTTCACCAGTATTTTATAGTTTTCAATGTAGAGGTCTTTCACCTCCTTGATTAAATTTACTACTAGGTATTTCTTTTTTTTTGATAGCTATTGAGAATGGGATTACTTTCCTGATTTCTTCTTCATCCATTTCATTATTGACATATAGAAAGGCTGCTGATTTTTGTGTGTTGATTTTGTATCCTGCCACTTTATTGAATTCATTTATTAATTCTAGTAATTTTTTGTTTGAGTCTATATGGTTTTCTATGTATATGATCATATCATCTGCAAATAGGGATAGTTGTGTTTTTTGTTCTTTTTTTTTTTTCCTTTTTGTCTTTTTTCATGACTGGTAACGGGATTGCAACCCTCGGTGTCGCGTCCGCACCGCGCTCAACCAGTGAGCGGACCGGTCTCTATATGGGATCCAAACCCTCGGCGGGAGCGCCGCCGCGCTCCCAAGTGCCGCACTCTACTGAGTGCGC